CCTGCTGATTTGCAAACACTTCCAGCAGAAAATATTTCTTCGTAGTCCCCCGCTCACATGCTGCTTACCACGGTGTGACAGAAGTATGAATTTGATAGCAAAATTCTAGACACATGCATCACTTGAAATAGCGTCTAGACAACTAATTCAAACTGGTTGCAATGCAAGCTGTCATGAGAAATGAAAACTGAAAGATGCAAAATGCTACGGAAGAAAAGTCAAATACTATGTCAAAGAAACTTAGTGGTTGTGCCAACACATTCCTGATTCACCAGAGAGCAGTCAGATAAACTGCTAGTGTTGACAATACTTGCTTAATCTGGTTAACACCACTGGGGCCATCCTCCAAAGTACCTGCAGTATTGCTAAGCAGCAGTACAGACAAATAAGCTGATAATGCACCTGTAGAAGACAGCCCATACTTGAAACCAGAGTGACCTTCAGTGATGCAGGCAGAAAGACTTCCACATTAGGTGCTTATTTACTGAGCTAGATCTTTCTGGCTCCAATACATGGTTTTAAATTTGTACTTCTTTGTTCTTAATTCTCGGAGTGGGTGAAGCTAAACCCCATGATAAAAAGTTTTAAATTATTCATTATCCAAAAGTAATGCTGAACTCTTCTGCCTGTTAAACTTCTTACATTTAATGAATTAAATTCCAAAAATGTATACACTTATATTGTTCTCTGCTTGGGAACTTACCATCCAGGCCTTATCAGCTTCAGAGGAGGAGATGCTAGTAATTATTGTCTCATGGTTTATATTAAATTTCAAGGTAACTGCTTTCATAGCTAAATTGTCTTTTTAAAAAATGCCAAGACTAAAAATACATTTAAAAGATCTCAGTCTTTCTCCTTTAAGTGTATGCAAATTACAGTAGTGATATACAGCAGACCAATAACGAAGCAACACTACCATACTTCTAGTAAATGAAAAATACAAAATATTTCTAAGAAAAAGATTACTGTGAGAAGGACATCTTGATACAAAAGATTTGCTTACGTTCACACATGTTGACTCTATCATTAAGTTTTTTTTCTGAGGGGGAAAGGGGTTAATTACCCACTTTTAGCCAACACTGATATGTAAGAGTGGAGGGGACTCTCACTCCACAGAAATTCCTGAGAGCAACAGAACTATTAACTAAGAAACAAAACAGAAGCCAAATTCTGAATCCAAGTGAGTGACAAAAAGGAGAACCTGAGCTACAAAACTTGTTCCCGCTAATGGTGTGAGCAGCAAGTAACTCAGCACTTTAATAACCAAAGCTAAATTTGCATGTCTGACAGCTGGGGAGAGTATTTTTTAAAAACTGAATACATACAAAGTAAGCTTATAATATAATGCACCGTCTGATTACCTTTACAATACTATTTTCAGAAGGAAAAAAAACCAAACACCAGAGATAAACATTGAACTAGAAGATAGTTAATCCTGTAATGCATTTTTGTGATGGTTCATGACATCTTTAAGTTACCTGGGAGAAGAAAGACGCCTCCTTTCTGATTCTCTTCTTTTCCTTTCTGCAGATCTACTCCTCACTCTTCTAACCGGAGACCGGGTTCGAGAGGGGGATTTACTCTGCTTAGATCTACGATCATTAAAGAGAGGGGATCTGCTTCTTCTTGACTTTTCACGTTGTTTGGGAGATAAGCTTCTTCCTTTTGGGCTACGGCCAGGTCGTCTAGGGGACCTGTTTTCTTTCCCTGAAGAAGCATCTTTAGAAGGAGATTTAATTGGCTTTTTTTCTTTGTCAGTCTCTGATCTCCTAGGTTTTCTATCTTTGGACCGTGATCTTCTATCTTTGGATTTGCTCCTTAGTTCTGTTGGAGATTTAGATTTTCTGCCACGATCTCTGCTTTTGTTTTCATTTACAACTGGCGACTTCCTGCGATCTCTTGATTTACTTTTATCATCGGCCTTATTTCTATCCTCTGGGGGAGATTTAGACTTTCTGTTTTTCTCCTGAGACCGCCTTTTAAGCATTGGAGACCTAGATTTCCTTGTCTGATCTTGAGACTTACTTCTCTTATAAGGGCTTTTGGATTTCCTTCTCTCTTTTGACTTGCTTCTAGTTGTCTTCTCTTTGATTCCATCAACTCCTACCTTGCCTTTCTTTTTGTCAGATCTGTGTCTAGTCCTTTCTTTTGATTCACTCTTGCTTCCTTTCTTGGAACTAGTTTTATTGTCCACAGGTTCCAATTTCCCCTTAGTGTTTGACTTAGCTGTCGGTCTCGTTCCATTTCGCACTTTTTCATTAATCTCCCCCTCTTCTTCGGATCCTGACTCATAACCTTGTAATATTAATCCCATCCCAGATTGGACTTTTCCTTCCATTAACTCGTTTTCAAGTTCAGCTTTCAATAATGCTCTTTGTTTCTCCAAGTCTTCCAGAGGAGCTAAAAAATCAATTTTAGTTCTTTTAGCTGGTCCATCTTCTTTGTCAGAGGTATCGGCTACCTCTTTTCGTTTATGTTTCTTATGTTTGTGTCTGTGTTTATGTTTTTTGTCCTTATCTTCTTCTGAAGAATGTTTATGTTTCTTGTGTTTACTTCGGTGTTTGTGTTTCTTTTTTTTGTGTCGGCTGTGCTTGTTCTGAGGTTGGTCTGCCTCTGATACTTCCCCATTTTCTTCATTTACACTTTTCTCAGATGCATCAGCATCCTCAACCCTGCAAAAAAGAAAAACTACAGATCAGTACTATCAACTCACCGCAGTCCTTAATCTTCTGTTAAGCTGACAGTCTTTTTTATGATAGAAACTAACTGGCATTTAATTACCTACCTTTGGGAGAATTAAAAATGTACGACTAATATAACTAAGTTATAACAGCAGGCACACTTCCTCACGAACAGACAGCTGTGACTGCAAAAAGAAATACTACGGAAGGAAGATACAGCAAATGCACTAACAAAACAAAACCTGTGGGTGAAATCAATGCTTATGCTTTTAGGTTCAGTCCTGACAATATCTGTTAATCGCATATAACAGTGCTGCATATTTATGCATCCTGTCAGTCCATCATCTATCTTATTCGCTGCTCCACTCCGATGCCTAAACCAAGCTATGCCTTTTAAAAGTATTTTCAAATGGCAGAACACAGTTGTGCTCCAAAGATCAAAACTTATTTCAAGGCATGACGCTGACCACCTAATGAAACCACCTTGCAAAATCTCACGCAGAGCCGACCGATTCTCTTAACTCCCGTTTCCTTCTGTAAGTACACAAACCTATTACAAAATCAAGAACTGTTCTTATCATGCATTTCTATTATTTATGCAATACAGGGAACGCTACTGAGGAACAGAATAAATTAAGGAAGCATAATTTCAGAAAAACTTTATGATAATACACAGCAGTCTGTCAGCTTCCCAAGAAAAAAGCGATAATCTTTAGACCTGTAAAATGGCATTGGCCAAAAAAGCAGAAGTCTACAGCAGATTATTAAAATAATAATAATGTACAGTGTTCCTTTTAAAAAAAAAAAAAAAATTCAGCTAGCTAGTCACAGCAACAAGCAATTTAAACAGTGTACTTAATAACTTCAAAAATTATAAAATTCAGTCCTGACGTTATGCATGCACTTATATTATCTTCCTTAGAAGCTGAAGCTGGCTTACCAATAGATGTTTTACAGTGTTTAGCAAATATCTCCTGATCTCCTTCAGAACATCAACTAAGTTACTCTGTGGTAAGACGGATATTTGCCTTTTGAAATTTGTTGCCAGATATTATAGGTGCCAGTGTTCACCCTTCTACAAACTCACCCCATCTAAACTACAGTTTGGGAATTTACTAGCTAACACTTTAGTCACTTAAATATAGCTCTTTTTGTATCCCAGGCCTCATTCATTGAGAAGAAATTCCCTAAACATGATGGTCAGGAGTGGTGGGGGGATGTACACAGAAATGTAGAGATATCTTCCAAACTCTACTAGTTTCAGATGACAGATGTTTCTGAAGAATATGCTCAGTGATCCAATAGAATAAATATATCAGAGGTATTCTCAGCCAGGCCTAAAGGATGGCACTTCACTATAAATTCAGTTAGCGTCTTCCTAATTAAGGACAGGATCTTCAAACAGCGCACAGTTACCGATTCTCTCCTGCTGGAGTTAATGCAAATTCTAGTAGTAGTAAGTAATCCAGACTTTTCTGCTACATACACTAAAATTATTTGCTAAAACCATTAACACTTTAGTGATCTGAAATGAGAAACTCCCTAAGGGAACAAATAGTTTGAGTTAAAAATATGCAATATTCAGAGACTTAAGTCAGAATGCTGTATGCTTTTTCTTCTACATCTTTCCCACTACTTCTGCTTACTCAAACCATATAGAAAGAAGGGTGTTTTTCTTAATTGCTTCCTCCTGACACTCCACACCATTATGACAACAGAATATTGGGAAGAAAAAGGACAAGCTGCCCTAAAATAAGCTTGCTCTATGTGGCATTTGGTACAAAAGACACGAAAAAGAAGGAAAAGGTATTAAATGTAAAACTTTTTCAACCTGGATATGCAATCCAGAGCAAGTATGTCAATGACATAAGTTGGTTAAAGGGCAGACACATGTCATCAGGAGAATTTTAAGGGAACGATGCATCTTTTGAGATTTCTTTTAGTCAGAGAGAGGATGGTGTACAAGACCCCGATTAACACATTAATTGTACTTCAATGCATTATAAAAATATTACAGAACAACAAAAATCACATCCGTTCAAGCTGCTCCAGATAAGTCTTCCTTCTCTTAATAGCAGAAAGTGACACTGAAATCTATAAGGAAGTTATTTGTTATTGTAGATATTTTAATGTTATGTAATAACCTCACCTTACATTCTGTAAAAGCAAGCTGGTAGCAGAGGCGCCAGATGAGATACAGCACCACCGCAGTTATCTCAGGCCACTACAGACTGCTAATACGACTGCCAGCTTTCTTTGCATTTGTACCTCAACTATGAAATGACTATTAAATATGCATTAAATATTTCAGAGTTTCTTCATGTACAGGAATCTCTTTATTTCAAGCAATTCCAACAAAACATGCATAAGCTTTTACTTCATTCAAATGCTTCAGAGGTATAATGACATGGATGAGAAAGAAGAGTTCAGAAGGCGATGAGACAGATTGCTGTCTACACATTTAGGTGGTAATGGCTCTAAACAGGGAGGAATTGTGAAATGATCTTGTTATAGCCCCACTTCTTCTTACTTTTTACTTCAAGGGGAAGAACGATAGGAAGTTCATGAAGATTTGCAAAGAGATTTCACCCATCTTTTCCTACATTCAGGCTTCCTATCGGCAGTTTTTATCTTATTACTCTTAGTTATGTTTCTCTATACAATACTGAACACTCTTCTTCGTGTGCTCATGCGTTTTACGTGGTTCACATGTACCTCCACTGCTTTTCCTCACCTGTTTTATACTCCCACGATTAACAACAAACCTCAAACCACTACTTTTTAAGGGAACAAAAAAACAGAGAAAGCAGCTTATATAGCTCAAACATTTGTATAGTGAAGAGGAGGGATAAAATAAGCACTAGGTTGTCAACTCCGGGCAAAAGTTCCAGAGAAGAAAGTGTTTACGGGCTCCTGAGCGTCGACAAACCTAGCTCTCAGGATGCTAACCGGGGTGCCAGGAAAACGCTCCGGCGGGGAGGTGGCAGCTCGATCTTCGCTTCCCCACGGGAGCCGGGAGTTGCCAGTCATGTCGAGGGCTGGAAGGAGGGGCTGGCGGCAACAAATCGCTTTTTGCTTCCACCAGCGCAGGCACTTTTTATAACGCGAGAGCGCCCGGGACGCGGGGGAAGGTGGGCTCGCCGCAGGGCGGGCAGCGGCTCGGCGGCGGGCGGAGGGGCAGCCCC